GCTGACAGCAACACACGAAAATGGAAACAGATCTAAGAACGCACAGGGGTCAGTAAAACATTAAAAGATAAAATGCCGGTAAGTAATTCATCATTTCGCTTGGACCAACCTTAATTGTTTTATGACCCTTCGCGCAGAACTATTCACTGCCAATTCAAGAAAGACATTCGGATTACTAACACAAAGACAGAGAATGTCTCATATGGAGAATATTTAACATTGAAAAACATAAGGAAAAAATGAATTATTTTTAATAATATGTGGAAATTTCCGCTTTTACCTGAAGACGGTCACGAGACCAGAAACATGGAAAATAAAGCATAATATTTTTTTCTAAAAAATCCAAATTACAACCAAAACGTTTGCGGCACCTCCTTTCTCTTTTTTTTATATACATACTTTTTCTCGTTGGAACCACTACAACCTTTTTTTTTTAATATATATATATATATATATATATATATATATATATATATATATATATATATAAATAATGAGAGAAAGAACAGATGGAGTAAAATTCCACTGTTCGTACTATTTACTTTTTAAAAAGTGCTCAATACAAAAGTAGAGCAATATATATATATATATATATTTTTTATTAGCCTTTATCATCATTGTAAATCCCATTTGCCTTGAGCTGGAGAGCTTTCTACAGCTTTCGACGCGTAAATAAACAAAACTCCGGATTGAATCAATTATCTATTTTCTGGTCAATTCTGAGACAAGATAAAACAAAAGTCAAATTTATGAATCAATTTGTTACCATTATGACTTGTTAACTAAATATTGACTACCCATATCCATGTTTCGCGAGAAGAGCGTCACAAAATACAAAATGTGTTTTGGGGCTAAATTAGATGATAAAGCGAGGGTGAAAATCCAAGTATCTCGATTTATAAAACGCAGGATGTGTGTGGGGGTGTGTAACGAATGCACGGCCGCAATTTTCGACGGATTTGCACCAAAATTTACATACACATGCTCCAAGTTAGCGGGAAGGCCAAGACCGATTTTCCATTTCCTAACTACCATCGATAGTGGAAATAATCGATTTTTTTCATGCTTCTACGGCAGTTTTCATGTAATTTGCAGCCATTTTCTACTGGCCAGAGTGAGAGCCTATAACTGGCTGCCACGAATAGGCAGGAAGATTCTATTGGTCAGCGTCACAAGTGGGAAAAAATTTAAATCTGCATGGCACTTTACTCCAATTGGCTCATTCGCTTGCTTAAACTCAACGTTGATTCTGATTCTGCAGAAATGGGTTGTGAAAAAGTATTTGTTGTTAACATTCTTTTTTCATTCGGTTTTTCCAGTTACGAGTCCTTTTTAAAGCTGATCGTTTTGTGTTCATTTTGTTTAGTTCTTTTTTTCGTAACAGATTTAATGTTTGAAATTATAGAGCTTAGAAAAATTTGCAGTGTGAGATAGGCAAGAAGTAAGGCATGTAGCAACATCAGCACGGCAAAGTTCACTCCTTTAAAGGCAAGGAAGGTAAAAAAATATTTTAAGTCAAGTGATAGCGATTGCTGTATGAATCGTACGATTTTTGAATCAAGCACGGGTAACGCCGGGCTATGCTGCTAGTTAAGTTTTAAAATTCATGATTTTAAATCCCTTTTAACTTAAATTTAAATTTAACTTTAAATTATTTCTTTTTTTTTTTTTTTATAGATGTTTTAGATCTTAACGTAGATATTTTTGTTTCTATTTTCAATACACAATTTATTTTTGCTTTTCGCTTGTAGTATTAATACCGTGGCCCATCAGGGTCATAGGGTCAACACATACACTGAAGCGGCATTAGAAGTGGTGTTTCTTGGACAAGATTGTCCGACGGAGACCAACCATCTCTAGGCCGGTTTTTTGAATTCGGCGTCACCTTCTCCCAGACCGATTGCCATCTAATTTTTTATGCATAAGACATATTAAAAGTTGTAAAAGATAATGCCTTGTAAAAAAAATTTAGTGATTAATATTTTTACTATAAGCGACTGTAATAAAACTATTTTGAAACCGCTACACAAAGGCTTTCATGTTTCAATAATTCAATTGTACTTCTTCAGGCGACCATCGCCTGAAACAGTAAAATCAAACATCCTTCCACCAACAATGAAAAAGGAAATGTTCTATCAATAAACATTATTATCTTCTACAAACAACTCCAACAATCAAAGCTTTTGTAGCGATTTCAACATGTTTTTATTATAATCTTTTATAATAATAATAATAATAATATATGTGTGTATGTATGGTTGTGTGTGTGCATTTTTTTTTTATCAATTCACCCCAAACAAGGCGATCAGGACCCTAAGACGCAAGGAGCTACTAGCAGTGAAATAGAATAAAAAGGACACATGGCACAGTGGATAAAGGCGTTGGTTAGATCCAGTGACAGGACCCAAAGAGTGTGAGTTCAATACCCGGTTAACGCAGTGAAATTAACAAGAGATAACTGATAACTAACATCCATTAAACATGGCACGTGGAACTAAAACAGTCTATCCTAGTGAGCGAAATAAAGAGTTAAGTTCGACATTCCAACCACCTGAAGAAGGCCGGAGCGTACAACGGCCGAAACGTTGTGATAAATATGGCAACAAAGATGAGGACAATAGTCCGAATAA